TAACTGAAATGAGTCGGATGCACAGCGACAAAAGCTGCAAGACTGAACTGTCTTTAGCAACCCATAGTGATTCGACTCACAGACAGAAAATCAGAAAGAAAAAAAAGAAAAGAAAAAAAAGAAAAAGAAAGAAAGAAAGAACTCAGGGGTAGGGGTGGGGGATGGAGGGCAAGGATAAGGGGAGATGGTGTCACTAAAGCTACAGACAGGTGGTGGGGAACAACATAACCTCCCCAGGCCAGACCCACCCCCACCCCCCAGCCTTGGGCAGGAGTGCCAGGAGGGCTGGGAACCTGGGAAGTGGGGGAAGCTGGCTGATTCAGGTTACATTCAGCTTCTACAATCAGCTTCTTCCTCCTTAGGGAGGCTTGCTTTGTGCAGAGGACAGGAGAAACCAGGAGGTGCCTTGGGCAGCAGCTCTGCTGAAGCAGCTTAAGATCCAAGTGGAATTTCCCTCCTGCTAGAGATTCGGTGCACTGGAGGGAGTGACCCAGCCAGGGAGGGCCCTGGTCCCAGATGGATGCAGCTCTCCAAGCTCTCCTCCTGGGTCAGTGAGAACAGCTTAATCAAGAAGCCAGTTTGTCGGCCGGGCGGTGGTGGCACATGCCTTTAATCCCAGCACTTGGGAGGCAGAGGCAGGCGGATTTCTGAGTTCGAGGCCAGCCTGGTCTACAGAGTGAGTTCCAGGACAGCCCGGGCTACACAGAGAAACCCTGCCTCGAAAAAACAAACAAAACAAAACAAAAACAAAAAAAGAAGCCAGTTTGTCAAGGGATGGGTAGCAACAAGAAAGCCAAAAACATGTTCCTGTGCCTGGGGCAGCACAAAACTGTCTTTGGTACAGAACTGTCTTTGGTAAAGACAATTCTGAAGGAAGGGAGCTGGGAGAGAGGATTATTAAGACTTTTCTCCTCCTGCCTTGGCCTGGGCCAGTCAAGAAGCCTAAACACAGGAGTTGCATTAGTGAAGCCCATCTAAGACCAGCTTTCAAGGCCAGAGCAGCAGAAAGCATGGGCAAAGAAGCCAATAAGGCAAGTGGAGGGGGTTCCAGAGGGAATCAAAATAAAGCAATCTGTGAGGCCTGCCCGGTCTAAGGAGAACCCTCACCTAAGGGTTGGCTGATCTTGGACTATGGGTGGGAAGGTGCCTGGTGGGGAACTCCTGCTTAGTGGCTGAGAGACCACTATCTGCAGTCTGAACTTCAGATCCACACTGTTATGTGTGTCCATTCATTCATTCATTCATTCAGCCAGCATCTGTGAGTTACTGAGCGCATAGTCAATGCTAGGATGGGCTAGAGAAAAAGATGTGGAGCCACTTGTAGCTTTTATTTGCTTAGTGTGGGGCAACCATTGATTCCACCTACCTGCTCCATGAACCTGGAGGCTGTCCTCAGTTTGGTCCTCTGTAAAAGATGATTAATCATCCCCCGCCCTGACCCACGACTCCCAGGTGTTGTGAGATTTTAAGTGGGCATCCGTGATAAGGACAGGGCACAGAGCCAGGTGTGGACTCAGTCCCCCGTGGAGTCAGGGGTTCGCTACCTACCCAGCACCCTGCTCTCGTTCACGTTCGTTGCCCTATGCAGGGCTGCCAGGGCATTTTTTTGCAGTTTTTGTCCCCTGTCACAGACAGAGATCACCAAGAGACCTGGTGATCGCCGGTTCCCCCTTGAGCCCCCAGGGCTGGGGGCGAACGAGCGGATTTATAGCGACCGGCATGCCCGCGGCTCGCAGACATCGGAGGGGGTTGGCGGGGTGGGGGCAACCTCCCTGAGCCCATGTCGAGAATAGAGAGCTCAAGCAGGCTGCTTGGATGCCTGGGTCTGGAGTCGCCAGGCCCGGGCGTGGGGGGCGGAGCGCGCCGTCCCGCCGGGCGCGGGGACAAAGGCCCGCGGGCGGACGTGGCCGGGCCCGGCCGGGCGGGCCCTTTAAGCAGGGTGGGCGGGCGGCGCGGGGGCGGGCAGGGGCGGGGCGCGGAGGGCGGTGGCGGCGGCGGCAAGTGCTCGGCGGCAAGGATCGCTTTGGCCCGGCCCGGCCCGCACGGTGCTGGGCGCGGAGAACGGCCATGCCGCCGCGGCGCAGTATCGTGGAGGTGAAGGTGCTGGACGTGCAGAAGCGGCGCGTGCCCAACAAGCATTATGTGAGTCGGCGTCCGCGCCACGCGGCGACCCCAGCCCCGTGCAGAACTTGTGCCCCGCGCCCTCACCGCTGTCTCCCCACGCGCCCCGGGTCCCCGCACCCTCCCTGCCGTCTGTCTCTCCACGCGCCCCTGGTCCCTGCGCCTTCCCCGCCATCTCCCCGCTCGCCCCTTGGTCCCCGCCATCTCCTCGCGAGCTCTCGCCTTGCCCACCCGTGCAAAAGTCTAGCCCCAGCTGCTGCTGGAGACGAAGACAGACACCAGGAGAGAAACCCACAGAGGCGTGGGTCTCAGGCCACCCTCCTACCCAGAGGCGCCCAGTCTCGTAGGACCAGCCAACCAAGCCCCTCATCCTCAGGGCATGGGTCATTTGGGCGCCCCTTTCCTGTAACTTCCGCTTAACAGTGTGGGAAAGTTTCCCCAGGAGTAACCCCCCTCTGTGAAATGAGAATTTTGTTTGGCGCTGCCAAGGTGTGGAGGAAATGGGTCCCTAGCGTCATTCTGCAGATGGGAAGGCTGAGGCCCAGAGGCTGAGGGTTCTAAAACGTGGAAGATGGGCCTGGGGCCCACAGTGACCCTCAGGTGGGAAGTGGCCTCCCGGGCTGCTTGGGGACCTTTTCTGAGGTTGAGGTGGCCCTGGTTCCACCCCAGAGGTTCTGGGCAGTAGGACAGTGGATTTAGAGGAGGCCCTGGGGACTTCACTCCAGGCGTGAGGGTGGGGGATGGTGTCCCTGGCTGGAAGAAGCAGGCAGTGGCAATCCTGGAGAAGTTAACCAGGAAGGAAAAAAGCAAGAGCGAGGGGAAAAAAATCCTAACAAAGAAGTGAAGAACAATGACTAGAGAGGGCGTTGGCTGGAGAAAGGCTGGCCAGGGGCCTCCCTGGAAGCCCCTTTTGGATCTATTTGTTTAAGAGAGCCATTCTTACAAAGCAGACAGCTATACATGCCTTCCCTGAGTCGCCCATAAAATTCTGGAAGGAGATGGCCGGGAATCCACCACACTCTACAAGAAAGGGTGTGCTGTGTTCCAATGTATTGTTATTGGCTAGGCCTTCAGTAACTCAGCCATGGGCCAGCCAGCGGGGGCTGCTTCCTGGACCTGTGGTATCTTTAAATAGAGCTAAGTTTTCCTTGCTTCAGAGCTCAGCTAAACTGTCTTGGTTTTCCCCACACCCCGCCCCTTTTTCCCTCCTTAAGTATTTCAAATGTTGCCAAATCTTGGTTTCTTGTTGGAGCCTGTTGAGTTGCCTCTTGGGTATGGGACAGTTTTCAGCAACACACCAACTGGAAGAAGTCTGAAATTCTCCATGCCGCCTTCCATCAGATCTGGCAAACCAAAATAGATAGAGCCACCAAGCACTGGGCGCCATCTTCCACTCTCTTGTGGTGTCAGACACGTTTAGCGGTGGTTTTCTCAAATTGGTTTCAAGGATGAGGCAGCTAACAGTGAGGAGCAGAGCCCGCATCTAAGTCCCTAAGTCCGGGCCTGTTGGACCAAAGTTGGTCCGTGAGACCACGCCCCTTCCCACATCCCACACACCCACAGAGGCCCTGGACTAAGCGCTCTCAAAGTCTGGGAATCTGCTCAGGCCCACATCTCCCTGGCAGATTTTTGCAGCTTTGAGGGGTACCCCTGAGGTTCCAGCCGGTTGTTAGGGGCTCCCTGAGCCAGGTCTGTGCAGCCCCCCTAGCTTGGGCAAGCTCAACTCTTGGGCTCCCAGGTTGCTAACTGTTACTTCTTTGAGTCTCTGTGTCCTCATATGTAAGATGTGGTGATGATGCCTCCTCCCAGGGGGAGCAACCATGTGACTGACATGGGGTTTCTTCACTGCAGCCCTGTGGTGTCTGTGTCTCTCTGGTTGAAAACGTGCTGAAATCACGCGGGAGCTTGTTCTGAGAACTTGTTCCTCTGTGGGCTTAGTCACTGCTGTGACAAGGGGCCCTCGCCTTGCCATCCAGCCTTTGGTTCCCCAAATGGGGTAGAGGATATGGATGAATGCAGCCTGAGTCATCCAGAGGAGCAGTTAATTTGGTCCTATAGTGGCATCGTCCCAAAGCCAACAGCAGCAGACTGGACTGTGGTACCTGTCCCCAAGCTGCACGCACTGGATGGAGTGGGTGTGGAGACAGGTGTTAGAGGCCCTGCTGAAGTCACCTTGCTTCTGCCCTCCACAGAGCAGCTTCCCTTTCCTCAGCTGTAACAACAAAAATACAGCCCGGTATTGAGCATGTCCCCTTGGGGACCATCTTAGTCTTGTTTACACTGTATAGCCTAGTACCTGTGGCTGGGTACTTTGTAAAATAAAATAAAAAGCCACCTGGGAAGCTGGAAGTCCAAGATTGGGCTGTCCCATTAGTCTGGCCGCTGGGAAGGGCTTCTTGTCCACATCAGAGTTGTATGTGACGTCATGGTGGGAGCAGGTGTAGAGGAAAAGGTTATGTGTGGTGAGACTAGAAACTAGAAAGTTCGGGGAGGGGCCACTTGCTCTTTTGTAATATGAACCTTTGGGAACTAAGGTCCTAGGAGAGCTACCTGAATCTCTTTTAAGGCCACATGACCAATGACCTAACTACCTTCCCTAGGCTCCACCTCTAAGGTCCTGCCACTTCTACTGGCATGACACTGGGGACCAAGCTTCCAGCACATAACTCTTCGATGTGGACAGACCGTATACAGACCTTAACAGGGGTGACAGCATGTACTTCTGCCCCAGTCACAGCACCGTGGTACAATGTGCACATCAATTTGGAGTGTCCTGGCTGCTGTGTCCCCCTGATTCCATGCCTAGAAGGGAGCAGGTCACAGCTTCTGAGGCCGCAGTTAGACAGCAGTGCCTGGTGCTCAGGGCTGGGTCCCCTGCTCCACCTCCATGTCAGATTAACAGTCTCTTCACAAAGGCCACCTGTGGATAAGGCTGGTGTTGTCACTGTGCAGCCTCTGCCATGCCTGTCCCACTCAGAGTCTGGGTGTCAGAATGGATGTGAAGAGAGCTCCTCAGAGTGACATGCCAGGGCCACCCTCCCTAACTGGAGTGTTTTCTAGCAACCTGTCAGCTCTGGGAGTCTTGTTGGGTCCCCGTCCCCTGTATTAACAAAGAAAAACATCCTGAACAGGGCCTGATGAGGCAGCTGTCAGGGTCGGGGACACGTTTTATTTGTTTTGTTTTGTTTTTGTTTTTGTTTTTGTTTTGAGACACAGTTTCTCTGTGTAATACTCCTGGCTGTCCTGAAACTCACTCTGTAGACTACTAGTCTGGCCTTGAATTCACAGAGATTTACCTCTGCCCCCTGAGTCCTGGGGTTAAAGGCATGCTCTGACATGCCCCGGCTGTAGTAACAGCTCTTTGAAGGTGGTAGACTCTTGTCATGTGACACCAGTGTCACAGAGGGATGGAGAGAATAAAACCCATCCCTGTCCATAGAGTCTCTGCTTCTGTGTGTGCTTCAGACCTTTTCTGTCTTTATATTTAAAATAAATCACAGATTCAGAGTGCCCTGTGTCCCCCCGCCCCCCCCCCCCCAGTCATATCTCTCACCAAACCACTACCCTGAGTTTGTTATTTACCATTCACCCATGCTTTTTTGTTGTTGTTGTTCTTGGAGACAAGGACTCACTATGTCCAAGCTGACCTTGAACTCACAGAGATCTGCCTTTACCTCCAGAGTGCTAGGGTTGAAGACCACCATGCTTGGCCCCCATGCACTTTTAAAATACAGATTCACAGGCTGGAAAGATGGCTCGGCAGTTGGGAGCCTTGCTGCTCTGCAGAGGACCTGGATTGTATCCCCAGCACCCACATAGCCCTTCACAGCCATCTATAACTCCAGTTCCAGGGGATCTGATGCCCTCTTCTGGCCTCCACAGGCACCAGGCACGTGCGGTGCGTATACATTCAGGCAGAACATCTACACATGTAAAATAAAATATGGGTTAGTAGGATAATTTTTATTTTTATTTAGCTGCTTTCCTCGGATCATTTACACATCACCACAGTGACCCATTATAGCCACAGAGGTCACTGGTATTTGTGGTAACTGAATAAGGCCAAATAGCCATCACCCAGTCCAGTTTTATAACCCTTCTATCACCCCATTTGCCATCAGTATCTCCCCTCCTTGCCCTTTACATGTTTTACCTGATAACTCCCCCTCAGTCTTGTCTTCAATGTTTTGAAAGTATAAAAATCCTGCCCTGTTCAGATCTATGTGAATACCAAAGCCCCAGATCATTTGGACTGCTGCATAGTATTCTGTTTGTGGCTGTTTCCCTCTGTCATCTGTAAGGGCCTCTCCTACTGAGGACTCAGGGCTGCTCTTCCCAGCAGTTAGCCTGGTGGGAGCTGTTGCTGTGTATAGACCCAGAACAGGAACAATGCTGGCTCTTGGAGTGCATACTCAGCTCTGTGTGTCACCCCAGGAGCTGTGTCCCTGGGCTCCCTCTGCCCTCAATCAGTCTCTCTATTGTCAGACTTTCTAGTTGATGTCAGTCTGTGTGCTGCACAGCAGTATCCCCTTCCCTGCTTGCTAAAGCAGCCCAGTGGCCTTTTATGCTTCCATTGGCCAGCTGAGATTCCTCTGAATTGCCTGTGTATCCTTTCCTGTGGGCTCAGTGTGCTCGCCTTTCATCTTCTCTTGATGTGGAAGGTTTATACATCTGGGATACTAATCTTTCAGGTGGTTAGATTAGTGTCCTCGGTTTCCCCTTGAGACTGTAGGCTCAGAGAATCCCAAGTACGCGCATGAGGTCACACACGGGACTCACTGAGTGGGAACTGAGATAGCCATGTTTGTCTGGGCGATACAGGCAGCCTTGTGATCCCATCACAAAGCTGGGTGACCTCAGATGGCTCACCAATGTCCCCTTTTCTGAGATGCCAGGCTCATTCTAGGCCCTCTGTTCATTCAGTTGGCTGATATCAAGTCATCAGCTCTGGTCACTTACTCCAAAGAAGCTCTGACTGGATTGTCCTTAGAGTGAGAGATTGACAGGGCCTCCCTCCTGAA